TATAAAAACAAAATATTTTCAATGTGTTCGCAAAATGGAAAATTTGAATTTTACAATGTCTCGTACATGCGTGTTGCAACGTTTCAAATATACAGAAAAATACATACCAACGTATCGAAAACAAAAGACAAATTTATAGTTATAATTAATTGTATCAACTATTTATATGTATGTATGTATATAAGTACATATTTGTATGTGTCTAAAGGCCTCTACTTAAGAAGCCCATTTGGCCCACTGTGGCTGCAACAAACCGAATTCTTATGCAATTACTAACAATTCAAATAAACTCATACACACAATTATGAAAATATATGAAAAATCGGTGTTTCATTGAACAAATTGACAAGACTTATTTGGAGCAATAATTTTTGGTACTCGAATTTCCGGAATTCTAGATTATTTTTTATTGATTGGAATGTGATTTCACACGTTTTTGCGGCAAAAAATCTTAACCCTTGACTACCGAGGGGTCTAAAGGAGTCACTTTTAATTGATAATGGTATTAAAGTAAAAAAGTTCCAGTTATGAAAACTTTTTGTACAGTGGCTATTTTTGAAAAATATTGCCAAATTATATTAATTTCAATTGGCAACCCAAAATGTCTGGATTTCCTAGAAAATTTAAAACAAGGCTTTGCTTCCTAACTTTATTGAGTTCTCCCCTTGAAATGGTAAAAAGCTTACTACTAACATCGTCAACATTTTTTTCTGAATTTGTACGAATTATCATGATTTTTGTTCAAATCGCGTTCGTGCAGACCAAAAAATTATCCATCTCATAAAAATTAAGAGCGCAAAGTGACAGTTCTCTTGGAGCGAAGTTGCGTTCCCGTACTTTTTGGTTTTTCTCTCTGTCTTTCAGGGCAATTGCGCTTTTTTACAGTTTTACCAGTTTTTTCCATAAAAGTGGAGGAACGAATGGCCACCATTTTAAAAGCTAAATAAAAAAAAAAAACGTTATATATAGCAAGGTTTTTGTTTTGCAAAAACGTAAATTTTTTTGCGGATTCCGATAGATCCTCATGCGGGAAGATTTTTGTTTAAGACGACAAACCTTTAGAATAGTTTAGGAACTAAAAGCAATAAAACGTAGATTTTATTGTAGATTTCAGCAGATTATCCCTCAGGTCTGGATAGCCTGCGGCCGACGTTGATGGGCGTAGTCCATAGCGCTTCCGGTGTCTGGATCGTCGAGTTCTAGGTGCATGAGAATAGGTGTTGGGTGTTATGTAGGTATTATATTGTATTATATTTCCCAAAGAGTTTTAAGGGAGTGTTGCTGGAATTTTAGAAAAATTCTAAGTATGCAGTTTTATAGCCCAATAATTTCTGGCTAAAAAAAAACACAATTTTCGAGTGGCCAAGAAATCGCGTTGATTGTTGATAATTTTATTTTTTGTTGACAGTGTTACGCTTTTTTTCTATGGTAGAAAACAATAAACCATCAGTTAAAAAACTATCAAAAATCAAATTCCTAATAAAAAACTTTGTTGTTGATCTAAATGTAGGTTGTTTTACGGGTAAACCCAGTTATCAAAAAAAAAATAAGATTCTTCATTAACTTAGCCTTTTTTATTGTGGAAATCAATTCAAGGTATACAACTGAGGCACATACAGATTAATACTAATAATAAAAAAAAAACCCCAATCGCTATATATCGATAGCGAAAACATACAAATTATTTTGAAACGAAAAATCTTCAAAAAGCATTACAATAAATGCTTTCTTGTAGGTACTAGTAGTCGATGTATTAATTTACGTCAGTGAAAATTTGCTTTTGCTTCATAGCAAACGGTCTGCTGTGCGCTGCGCAACTGTGCCAACAGTGCTGCCCGATTTATCACTTTTCTTTTGCCTATTTGATCCATCAAACCAACCAGATTTGACTGCAAAAATTGTAAAAAATGTTGTAGATTAGCAAAAAATTAGAGACTTTCTGATCAGTACAATGCTTCTTTTTGCTAATTTTTCACAAATTTTTGCAGCGACATGGAATGAGGCAATAAAAATCGAATGTAAAGTGCAATAAGATGATACATTTTTTGTTCATGTTTAACGTAAGAAAATAAATAATTTTAAAAGCCACCAAATATGAATTAAAACACAACTCATTTTCAAGGCGCTTTTTATTTTATTTTGCTAAGGCAGTTATATTGAGTTTATTTAGTTTTGCGCTTCTTTACTACTTAATTCATAAACTCCTGTGGGGAATAGCGTTGAGAGAAACAAAGAAGAGAAGGTCAGAAATAAATTAACTATTAACATTCCAGTCCGTATACGTTCAATTGGTGAAAAACTAACAAAAAATAAATAATGCTCGCCAATAAATTTGTGTAACGAAATTAAGCATATATTTTGTTCTGTCTAAAGAACTCAAAACATACATTTCGGAAAACTTTTAAAGCTTAAAAACTAATTATTGTAAGCCTGAAATTGTAGCATGAGTTGCCAATTTTTTGGAAAATGCGAGAATTAACAAAAGTGAAAAATTTGTTTCGCGATAATGCAACAACTGCGAAAAAATATTTGACAACGCAAAACAAATTTTCCAGTTTACCTGTACTAAATGAAAATTTAAAATCTTCAGAACATGATTTTAACTGTTTTTTTTGTTAATCCTAACATGGAACTGTTTTAATTATTTTTCATTACTGTTTCATAAAAAAACAAAATTATTTACTTTTGTAAACTTTTTCAGTCATATCATCGAAGCTAGAATCTTGAATGTTTAACATCAAGCTATCGGCAGAGAGGTAGACCTTGTTCTGTGAGCTAGCGATCTAAAAAAAGAAAAACAAAGAAAATTTAAAATAAAATATCGTAAGCATTGAAAATAAGAGAACTTACAGTTCTTGCTATACTTTGAGCAGCGCGAATTTTACGCAATTTCAAGTAGGCGGGATTTTGTTTTACAGCAAGGCCCAACATTTTGGCTGCTTCAGCCTCACCCTCGGCTTGCACAATTTTCTGTTGCTTCTCTTGCTTGGCGCGCTCAACAAAGAAGACTGCGCGTTGTGCTTCCTGCTGTGCAACCTGCTTGGCTTCAACTGCAGCGGTATATTCCTTGCCGAAACTCAGTTCAGTGAGTGAAACATCATCAAGAATGATATTGAAGTCACGTGCACGCTCCACTAATTCTCGGCGGATAAGCAGCGAAACCTGCAAACGAACGATGGCATGAAACAATAACTAGTTTTCGATGTAAGCTACAGAGTAATTTACCTGCTGACGTTGTGTAATCAATTGTGAAGCATTGAATTTGGCCACCACACTTTTTAGCACTTCGTTGCAAATTGAGGGCAAGACTTTCTCATCGTAATCGACACCAAGCTGACGATGCAAGATGGGAAGACGCAAGGAATCAGGACGAGAAAGCACACGCAGAGAAATGTTGATCATCTGTAAATCCTTAGAACCAGTCGGTGATGAAATCTTACGAGGACGAGAGCGGATGTCATATACAATTGGATATTGGAACCAGGGAATGCGGAAATGTAAGCCTTCAGAGTAGATCTCATTCTGTATACCCCCAAGACGGCTGAAAATGATAGCACGATGACCACCATCCACTGAAAATTTTTATAAACATTAGCTACATACATATATACAAGATCAGTAAGATCTGGAAACGCTTCTAAACGGCTTGATTTGTGGTTATGCAACCGGTTGGGCTCGCCCTCAGCCGGCTCTTGACAAAACATTAATCTAACTTCAAGGTTTAAAAATACATCTAGGAAAGTTTATATATGTTTAGACTGCAGTTCATTTAAATGGTCTGCAATTGTACCGAAACGTTATGAAATTACTTCGGCTCGTTTGCAATGCAACTGATAATGGCTACATTGAGGTTATGTCATCAACATGTTTTTATACATATTTTATATGTTCCAATTCTTTTAACTTATTAAGAAATTCATACCTGTGTATAAAGACTGATTGATAGCGTAGGCAGCGGCACCAACTGCCCCCAGCAGCTTTAATCCCACGGATAATCCTGGTGGACCACCTTTGCCGAATTTTCCAGCCAAGTCATTTAGTTTACTCTGTGCCATTGTCAGCCGCTGTTATGAGCAGAAAGGCGCAAACGATTATTTATTGTAATTTATAAGAACTTTTGTGGAATATACTTACAGTTAAATGCAATCACAATTAATTATTTTATGCAAAGAAAACCAAAAACTTGAAAAAGTCCGACTGTAAAATTTACCGCACTGAAAAAGTTTGACTATTGAACTACCCAACTCAGGGTTGCATAGGATCTGTAAGTTAACAGTGGTGTACACATGCGTTGCTTTATATCCAATAACTCCATTCAGATCACCCATAATGTTTGAAATAAAAAGGTCGGCATGGAAACTAGTGCTTTCCGTCCGATCAAATATCGCGATTCTGGATTTCGTCCATTCAGAGCGCCTGCCGGTAGAGAAGTTTGTAAGAAGCGGCTTGGAAACAAGTCCATTCCAACCGCTCAGTTGTGGCGGCTCTGGAAATTACACTCTTAGACCGCATATCGTACGTGATATATTTATGGTACTGCTTGGAATCCCGTCCATTCCAACAGCATCTAGAATATGCTATCTTAGTTAAATATACATACTATTATATAGCTTAGAAGGAAAAGTGTAACAGGTTAACTTATTTTAAGCATTAAATTTAGCTCAACTTTTATTATATATTGCAATACATAATTCAAATGTATATACGTGAATGTATATAGGTCAAATGACTGTAATAAATAAAGAAATAAAATAAATAACATTGTATGTTTATTTCTCGCAAGAAATATATATATATGCAAAGAACGTAAATGATCTAACAAAGGGAACAGGCGTAAGTTGGCAGAAACAAAGAACGTAATGTACGTTACGTTCGTTATGTACGTGTTACGTTCTTTGGTAAATTAAACTTGTTGCATGTAAAGGTATGGCAACGACGCAATCTAATTAGAACATTTAATTAGCAACTCTACATTTTCGGAGTGTGTGTCAAGTCAATCTTTTATTTTTCGTTTTTCCAAAAGTATTGTGATGCTTCTATTGTCTTGCATTCGCGTTTGTGTAAATATTTTAGTGAATCTTACTAATATTTAGGATTATTTATCGACAAATAATTACTTTTTGTAACAATTAAAGTAATTACTTAACATACGGATACAATGCAATCGATTGCGTCTGGTGAAGCGGAGCCAAGCAATGGCGCGGCGACAGATGTATCATTGCGTTTCTACTCATTCTTGCCATGCACACTACCGAAAAAGAGTGAGTAAAATGTTGTTTTATTATAAATTAATGTTTCAAAAGCCATGTGAACCTTTTTATTACAGCATTTACAAGCCCCAAAACAAGTGGTTATTGTACAGACAATAGTGGTGTGCTTGTGATTAACGATAGCGATGATGAGGGTTCATCGACTATATCTGCTGTTTCAGAGCCACAATTTGAGTTTCTGTGCGAAATTGATGTTGATAAGAACATCGCGCTACCTCGGCCCATAGAGCTTAAAGTAGAGTGTAAGAAGGAGCCTGAAGTAGATTTTATTGAAGTTCTGCAAGAGAATGGAAAACAAATAAATGAAAAACAACAATCAATCCACAACGCAGCTACAGCAGATTATAGTGATTGTGAGGATGAGCTATTGGCATTGTGCAAAATAGAACCAGTATGTGACCTTAACGAGGTCTTGCCACACAATGCATCAGCAGAACATGAAAATCACTACATCTACTTCACATGTCCCCAATGTGGCGAGCGTCACGATTCACATCCACACTGGCGACGGCACATTGTGTCGGCGCATCAGCTAGGAGATCAAAAAAATTGGAATTTTAGGCGACGTCCCAACAACGAATTCGAATGCTTTAGCTGCCGTAAAGTATTTACACGTTGCACACTGAAGACATTACAGCAGCATCACTTTACACATTTGCCACACAAAGTGTACCATTGCAAGTTGTGTCCATTCGAAGAGCACAGCATGTTTTTAATGATATCGCATATTATGCTGCATAAGGAAAAAGATGCCAGTAACAGTGGAAATGCTAAAAGTAGTAATGGTGCACCCACAGCACGCGAAATTGCCCTATGGGAACATGAGAGTCGCGCCTTGATTGCATACATTTGTCCAGCTTGTGGCTTAACGTTTGATGCAGAGGATGCCTGGCAGGCGCATATAAACTTCAGGTAAGTAATAAGATGCATTTATAACGATAATTTAAAAGTCTGCAGTTACTATATTGACAACAAAAGATTTACCTTTTGAGATGTCTACTCCCACAGTTCTTTAATTTCCTAATATGGCAGTAATTTTAAGTACAAACTCCCGTTTCGATTTCTTTTTGGAAGCGGCACTTTAGTCTAACCATTTCACCATCAAAGACGTTTGGATTTCATATTTATGCTATTACAACACAGTATTAAAAATTCCCGAGTATTATATACATTGCTTATCTATAATAGTAATCATTTTATTGACGAATTTTGTACTCTTATCTCACGCACATATTTACCTTTTATTACCTCTATTACAGCCACAATTTCTTGGAGAAGACGGCCGAAAATCGCTTCGGCGATCATTTCAAATGTTCCGAATGTGCCGTAGAAATCTTCTCTCAGCATATTTCCGATCTTCAGCAGCATCTGTTTACACATTTACCTTACAAATCGTATTTGAAATGCAAAATATGCAGCTTTACAATTTCGCGCCAAAATTTTATGCTTTCCCACATACTCAACCTACATAAAGTGCATCTAAGTGCAGGAGCCGCAACAAAGAATAGCGATAATGTAATTACAGCAGACACTTCAACAACAAGCGGCATATCCCCTGCACCAGTAACAACTACAACTAAATCACCGAGAGAAGAAAGAGTATACAATAGTCGTTTATCATCTGGTAGTTTAATGGACACAAGTATGAATGCTAGTACATTGAACGCATTGCGACCAACTTCGAGAACCTTCAATGAAACAAATAATGTAAATAGTCGTAGAGTTTCCACGCCAAACACACAATTCAATAACACATATGTTCGAGATCAACTAATGATGTCAACAAAAAAAGGCTCTTTTACTTGTAGAAAGTGTACTAAACATTATATGTATAGAAAAAGCTTCAGTAAGCATATACGCTACTGCGATCCAAGCAACACAACAATTTAAGTGATACATACTTGACAACGCTAAGCGAACACATGCACCCGCGTACATATGTTTGAAATGTTTACACTGGACATAAACTCGCGCAGTAAGGAGTAATAATAACAATTTTATCTACATTCCATATTTGTTATTGTATTGGGTGAATGAAATTATTGTTGTGCACACACAAAAATCCATTTGTTTTTACACTTAGCACTATTTTGCTTGACAAGACTAACAGCCGCTTTCACCAGCGGTTTAAATGGAAATATACTTTTTATTTTCTATCGATTTCCATAAAAAATTAAAAAAATTAAAATCATTTTTCACTTAAATTGCTTTTCTGAAATTGGCTGTTAGAATTGTTAGAGCTTCGGTTGAGTTGACCCAATAATATATTTTTTAACATTTTAAGTTACATTCTGCTATTATTTTGTTTAAATAAATTAAGCGGGTCGAGTTTCTAATTACTTACTTATCACTTGCTATTTTAAGATTTTACATAATTTTTTCATCAGTGAAAAAACCATTTACCATTTTTGTTTATCTAACAATCGTAAGCCTAACTCTTTACCTAAACTGAGTTAAGTACAAAGTGAAATTTTTTTTAAATTATAAAACAAAAATGAAATAAAACACACACAATTGAATTTATAAGTAACAAAAAAAATATATACTTTATTCCTATATTACAAATATGTATAAATACTAAATAATTCGAGGATAAAATTTTACAAGTATCTAATTGTATGCATGTATTTAATTACATACATATGTGTATATGCAATTTTGTATCAAGTGTATGAATAATACGTATATGTGAATATGTATATGATTAATAACCTAATCTAAATCACACCGTGATAAACTTTAGTAAACTAAAGACACACTGACAAGCCCTGATAAAGGTATTATTGCATTGAGAAGTCATTAAATATTTTGTATGTACACATACATAAATATTCTGACATTATGTCACATATCATGCAAATTGCGACTCTCATTGCGTCCGAAGTTAGTATCCCGCAAGTAATGTGCTGTTTGGTCGTTGAGCAGTGACATTACAATCGGTTTGAGGCTGAGCAAAGAGGCCAATTTATATTTGAGTGTGACAGATTTTACCAAAGCCACCAGTTGCGCCAGATGCTCCTCCATAGCAGGACTGATACGATGGTGTTGCGCATAAAGTTGAAAACTACGTGTGAAATGAATATGAAGAAAAAAATAATAATAAAAATTCAATTGGACTAGGTTTAGGTACTCGTACATACATACATACATACCTACATACATAAATATATATGAATTTTCAAGGGCAAATCAGAAATAGACGAAAATAATAAAGCTCTTTCGCACAAAATTAGTCGGCCATCAAAGCTTTATTGTTCGAATTAATACATATAGTAATTTTATAAGTTCTCTAGTGATAGTATACTCCATACATACATACTATATACATATTATGTATGTACATATAGTTTTCAAAGTCAACGCCTAAATGCAACCTAACTTTGCTATGCCAGAGTACTTATAAGTAAACTTATATATACATTACTCATTTCACTGGCTAGATTGCAGATGAAGCGATTGCTATATTTTTCAGTTGATATAAATTTGTTTCAACTGAGTTCATAATTCAAGATGTTGTTTTGATAAAATAGTTTAAAAAAAAATAAAAAAAAATAACAATGTTTAGAGAAGTGTCTTTGTTTATCTGCATTGACACGAAAGCTTCTGTGTTCAAGCAAGAGTAAGAAGAATAATTTTAAACGTAGCCTTTATTGTTAATTTTTAACCGACTTCACAAAAAGGAGGAAGGTTATCAATTCGTCGGAATATTTTATTTTTATGTACCGCATAAATTTGGTACCACGTTAACCGATTTGTACAATTCTTTTTTTAAAGGAAAGTTATTACCTCACAGGTGGTCCCATTCTAATTTGGTTTAAATCTGATCATTGGATAATGAAGACGGTAACGGTAATCTTAAATTTTTATATGAGAATTGAAGTCGGTTTTGTTTTTTTTGATTACAAATTACTTGTTATTTCTGTGGTCATAAGCAATAATCGCCTAAGTCGAAAAACCTGAATTCGAGCGAAAACGTTTTAAACATTTGGATTGTAATGTTAACCTTATGGGGAAACCCAAATATGTTCGTACATAACTTTTTAAATAGTCTACATGGGGGATGGGGATTTCACATATGTATATACACATGGAACAGTAGTTGCAGAATACGATAGCATATATAAATAACTCAATTCTTTCGTAAGTCGACTTAGGCGGTTATTGCTTATGACCACAGATTGATGGTTAGTGATGAGACACTTGTAAAAAAAAGAAAGTTTAGGGGAAAAAACAGAGAAAGGTATCTTCATTTTAAACCAGTGTGCTTGTGTACTTTGCCTGACACTGCTTTAAACCAAACTGTAGAACTTAAAAAGCTGATAGACTTTACGCTTTTATAAAACTAAGGTATTGAATTTGAAGTTATTGGTCCTCCATTTTGTGCTGTGAGTCTTGATGTTGGGAGAGAGAGAGACCTATACTTTTACTTCGCTTCCGAATGGTAAATGATGTGGAGCTTTTTTATGACAAAAAAGCGCTCGCAGATTTGCCTTTGCCTGCTTATTGGCTAGCTATCTATTAAATAAAAAAAAAACTGTGTATGCTAATCAGTTTAGGAATTGATTCAAGTGGTAGTCTGTATCCTCAATAATTCCACTTTTGGGTGATCAGATCGACCCGGACTTATTTCTAGCCAAGGACTGACAAAGCCTTTCCAAAAATTTCTTGACGAATTTGCATGCTACTACAACAATGCCATTTTTAGCACTCAGTTTTTAAATATATTAACAATTTCATTTTAATTTCACTGCTCTGATTTCCATTTCCGTATTCAATCACATTTTCCTCTTAACATAAAGTGCCACTTACCCCTTAACGGTATTGTCAATTATATTGTCGCTGACTTGAAGATATTGTAAATATTCTTGAAGATAATTCGTATGTCCAAGTATAATATATTGCGAGAGCAGCACTTCCGACCAATTTATGTCGTAGCCACAAGCACGGCTGAGTATTAGGGCCTGCGGTACACTGGAAAATAAATTATTATTATATTTTTTTTAAGGTTATAGAGCAAAAAGTGAATGTTTAAACCGTGCGACAGTAAATTTTATACGGCAAAAATCAATACTCTCGCGAAACAAGGGGCCAAATAGAGTAAAACTGCGCTTTTAGTTTTTCTCTCTGACGTCAGAATTTTTTTTAAAGGACATTCAAATTTCAAAGATATTAATACAATAAATCATTTAAAAAATCTAGTACAATGTAGAATAACAACATGTGTATCAAACGAGAAACAAAATTCTTTGGAATTGAAAGATTGAGATTGGAATTTTTTTAGAGCACAAGGACGAATAAGTATTGATAACATCCTTTTAAAATTTTATCCTTGGACATCCTTGAAATTTTGCAATATTGATTTTTGAAAAAGTTTCATGTTAACGGCATCAAAAATTAAAACTTAATCAAAATATCTAGAAAATTTTCTGGAACGCAGTTTTACGGATCATCAAATTTTACTAAAATAATGTGCAAATTCGATTGGCGTTGAGATTCTTTATAATCTTCCTGCTTCCATATAAAAAAATTTCGTATAATGTCTCACTCCTATTATTTTGTTGAGCACTGTGCATTAACTGTGAAACAATTTTTTCCTTATTTTCTTTTAAATACATAATTATGTAATATTTTAAGCTTTGTAATTGTTAGCACAAAATTAAGAAGTTTAAAAAATCTTAAAAAAGACAACGATTTTGAAACAATACAAAATTGAACGAAAACCTGTACGAAAATGTATCGAGAAAAATGTGGTGTAACCATCTATTTATCAATAGAGTACTTTTCCAATAAACGTTTTAGATTTAGATGCTCGTATTTAACCTTTTTTTTATTTATTGAAGCGGCTCTGGGTCACAGAGAATAAGAGCGAGCGAAAAACAGAGGGCTCTAATTAACCTACCCAAAATGAAAAGATTAACAATCTCTTTGAAAAGCTAAACAAGTTGGAGAAAGTAGACGAAACTGGAGAACAAACATTATCCTTTTGTGGGCTACACAGCTGCAAAACAAGCAAATTGGGTGAAAGGAGCCTACCATCGATTACTACTATGGTTAGCGATTTTTCACTCCTAAGCATTTTTATTAAATAACTGACAGGTCTTTCTTATTAGATATAAAAATTAGATCGCTCTTGCTTCACAATAAAGACCTTAGGAAATGTGTTCGTGATTATGATAAAGCTACATATATATACATATCGCAATAAAACTTGCTGTAAAGAGAGAGAATACCCATTTTGAAAAAAACAAAAAAAAAAAAGTTCTTAAGCTTTTCCTCTCACCTCAGCTCCGCATTGATGAGTTCACGAAATTCGTCTCGCGTCTGTACGTTCACCACACAAACGCATAGATGCGGCTCCGGTGCATTACGATCTAGAGCCTTGTTGGCCAAATCAATCTGCATGGCCATCATTTCCGCCAACGATGCGACACGTTGTGCCAGCAGCAGTTTATTGTCGAGCAAATAATTTTCGGTGGCATGTGTGTAAAACTCCAATGCCTGCTGTAGCAATGTGAGCAAATCCGGTGTGCAACGAAGTTTGGGAATGAACGTTTTCGTTGGATTTGCAGACGTCAAATTGGCCATGGACAATTTTTCAGGTAGCTGTGCGCTACCCACCGCCGACAGATTAAGCACCTTTGCTAGCACTGCTTGTGCATCTTGCTCCCACATTTCGGCCAGCTCCTGATACATAAGAAAATGCAACGCCGTCAGCTTCAAATATTCGCGCCCGTTGTTTGGACAATATTCGCGCAAATATGTGATTATGGCTTGTCGTAGCCCTATCGTTTTTTCTTCATCGAATTGTCCCAGTAATGATTCAAATTGTTCATTCTTCAGCAGCGAATCAAAGCAGTAGAACATTTCGCGATAGCGTCCTATGCCGCTGAGCATGCGCACAATTAGCGACCAAGATTTGGCCTGCGTGAGCACGGCATTTAGTGCTTTGGCGCGATTCAACACATTTGCTATGCCCTCCATGGAGCATTCCTGTACGTAACATTGATGTGCCTTGATCAGTAACTCCACATATATGATGTTTTGCTTCTTGTGTGACAACACCTGCGCCGGTGGCAGCTTTGGACCACCTCCGGTCGAGGCGGTAGTAATCGGTGGAATGGAAGCGTTTATTTGGGAGCCGCTATTAGTTGGTAGCCCATAACGACGTATGATTTCGGCAAGGCGCTCAAAGACCGTATTATGCTCGTAGGGTTTATTGTCTTGAAATTTACGATATGCTTTGAGTGCGTCACAGTATTCCAGTAAGCAATTGCCTAGCTTAGTTGTGTTGGGCACCAACTCAAGGAAAAGATGTAGATCACGATCAATGTTGTAGCCCCAAACGGGCGCATTCTTGATAGCGTTCTTAGATTGCTGATCGGCGGTGAAAATGTAGAAGCGCGGACGTACAATGGCGGTGGTCAATTCTGAGGCCAGTAGCTCTGCGATCTGCGGAAGAATTAAAGTTCAACCGATTAGAGATAAGAAAATATTTATCTTTGCTGAAACAAGTCAAAGGAAGACTCCATAATTTGTAGTGAGTACGTTAAAATTCGACTATTTGCATGAAAAAGGTCTACCTACTTCTTGCGGTGTCATATGCAATGATGTGAGTATATCGCTCACAACCAGCAATCGGTGCAGGCAACTCTCCTCAGCGACACTTTGCAGCAATACGGTTGTATCTTTAGTGCGCAGCACATCCA